TCCATCCATCCATCCATCCATCCATCCATCCTCCATCATCCATCCCTTACACTAAAAGATTCCACCCCTCCATGTTTCCAATCCATTTCCAAGCAGATTTCTCCCACAAATCAGCCTTGAATCTGTTCCTCCACTGACCCATCAAACCAACTAACCACTCACTCCTCTGACCAAAAGAACAACCCACAAACACCCACAGTGTCCCTCTGATGACCCACCCTTCCATACTCCCATGTAACCTCGTGTCCGTCCGACCATCGAAACCACCTTTCAGTCCCTGCCTCAGCCAGACTCACGCCAGTGTTCATCCACCCCTTGATACATCCATGCGTCAGTCCATGAGTTCATGGATGCAGTGAACCACCTTTCCTCGCCTTATCCATCCATCAACTTGGGCAACCACTTAGAATTGTGCTCAACAATCCATCATCCATCATCCATCCATCCATCCATCCATCCATCCATCATCCATTCACCCTTCCATCGTTACCCGGATCACAAACCAGACACACTGTCATCCAATCTTTCATCCATCCACGCATTCATCCATCCAAACAACCAGCCAAGAGCCGCCCACACATCCTTCATGCAAAAACTCTCCAGGCATTCTTCCACCCATCCATCCACGCGCCATCCAAACTCTCAGCCACCCAAAAAGACAAAAATTCATCCAAGTATTCACCTGTCTGTCTGTCCATCCTCAATCCATCTCACTCTCCTTACATCTGTCTCAACATTCCTCCTAACTTGCGTCCACACAAACCTCCACCCAGCCCCATGCAGTGACCAACAGGTTCCAATTTAAACAAGCACCACGGCACCAGCACAGGCCTTGTCCCAGCCCCTGCCCTGATCCAAATCCAGAGCCCCAAGGGGACACAGATGGGGCCCACAGCCCCCCTCACCTATGACGGCGTCGGTGGAGACGGGGCCCAGACGTTTCCGACCCCACACCCCGTACAGGTTGAACTTGTAGCGGCGGGACGGTGACAGCCCCGGCACGGTCACCGTGCGCGAACCCCCGTCCACGGGCAGCACCTGGGGCTGGCCTTGGGCATCCCGGTACTGCACCGTGAAGGAGTCAAAGGTGCCCTCGGGGACGCTCCACTCCAGCTGCACCGAGTCGGGGCTCACGTGGGAGGCCGTGAGCTCGCCCAGGATTGGCTGCGATGGGGGTTCCTCCTCTGGCTCGGCTGCAGCTGACACAGAGAGGGGACAGTGGAGGCTGGGAACATCTGCACGTCCCTCCAAACATTCATCCATCCATTTCTCTGTCCACCCAGCCAGCCCATCACCCACCCATCAAACGATCCATCCAACCTCCCAAACACAGATCCAGATCACTGCCTCGTTCTCCACGCATCCACCACAGCCTCTATCCCTCCCATCACCCATTGCCAATGAATAAACTTCCAT